GTTGAGACCCTGCTGTTACACAGATATGTACATAATTATTTGCATTGCTGTTTGAAGATCTGTAATCTGCCTCTTGCTCTGAAGGCCACTGGTTCATTTGATGACGTCTTCATTCAGTTCAGGGGTGGGATTATTATGGAAGAATTTGGGGAATGTCACCAGAGTTATGAAGTTCATTCTTTGTGTGACTCTTGTCAGGCAGTTAGCTGTTTTGCTGAAAGACCAAGTCAGATGGGATAAAACCAAATGCGATGAAGTCAATTCTCTGACCTTTAACCTTTAAAGCAACTGCAAACCTATCACAGCTCCTTGATAACTGTCCTGAAGTAATATCTTGAAAATATTTAAAAGGCAATAAATGCCACCCAGTGGCAGAACACCAGTTTTATGTTTTAAAAAAACAGAACAAGGATCCCATTTCTATGTCAACATGGCTTTTGGAAAGATGATGTTGTACACACATGTCATAATTGTAACTGACTTACAGAGCATGTTGAGAAAGGTGGAGACAGGCATGCTCCGTACAAAGTGGCAAGTATCGCTTCAGAGATCCTGAGTGGTTAGCAGCCTTTGGATATTTTCTCCAGGTGATGATGGTGTGTTGGGAAATGAGCAGAAGGTACACTGGCCGGTTCTGCACCACATGGTGGTGATTTGATGTATGACAAGCTAGAAGTTGTGAGTGCCATTTGGGAGCGAGTGAAACAATGCAGAGGCACAAACAGATCATTACAGTTTGAGGAGAAAGGCGCTGTGAGGCATTAACAGGGGATCTGCCTTATGCTCAAAACTCAAAGGAACGCTCAGACAGATACACAACCAGACAGTTACTGGTGCCATCACAACTGGTACTCTATGCTTGCTGCTGAAGAAGGGGACGGAGCGTATATGAAAGTGCTCCGACTGCTATGATGTTGATTCAACACTGGCCCAATAGATCTTATTTCGAAAATCCATAATTATTTGCCTTTTCTGCCCAGGTCCCCATAACTGGAACAAGAAATCTCATATACTTTATGACGTTATTTACCAAACAGTTAAAATATTTCTGGAAAATGTACAACATTACAACACACCCACAGTTCTAATAAAACAAGCCTCAGTATCACATGCAACAAACGGCAACATTTAACACAGAGCTATTCACTGTAGAGGAAATGCTCATGTTTTAACAGCACATAAACAGAGAAACAGATTACATCTGTCAGCTATAGACAGAGGCCAGTAGCTCAAGTTTTACAGCAATAATCAATCCCATCTCTGAATATAAATTCAGTGTGTAGCCCGACATAAAAATATGCATCATAATAACAGGTGAAATGACAATAGCTGTCAACAGTGGAGCAGAAATGTTTTCATTCTAAAGGGATAGTTTGTATATGTGCATGCATGCATGCATGTATAGATCAATGGACTGATCAACGAATGGAGACATTTGGATGGTAGGACAGATGGACAAATGGATAGATGAAACATTCAGACAAAACATGACAGAAAAGTATGCAATGGTGGGTTTTAGCAGGGAGATGAATCGATGAATGGATAGATGGATGCAAAGAAAGAATTACAGATGGACAAATATAGACCATGAATATGTCAGAATGAATACAAAAGTGTCTACTATATAAAATGAAAATACAGAATCTTATCAATCTGAGAATGCAGAACATGGTTAAAAAAAACAACACAGTGATTAAACAAAGTACGCAAAAATAAAAAATTTTTAAAAATACCCGTTATGTCCTGTCTGTATGTCATTTAATCAGTGTCCATCCACATCCCTCCCAACTATCCGCCCATCCTTCCACCAAAACATATCCTCGAGTAGAAGAAGGACTCGAACTAATGAACAAATCAATCAGTTATCACACATACATCTGTTCAAGAGAGTTCTTCAACTTAATCAACAAAAAGAAAAAGTTGACAAGACATATCATTCTTCTGTGTAATGAAGACATATAAAGCTTTGTGAATATTAACATCCTGTGAAAATATTTCTTTCAAACTGAATGACGCAAATAGGACTAAATCAAATGCCTTCATTTTGAAAAGAAAGCCTAAAGTTAGGACAAAGTGTCTAAATGGAATTATGATTCCTATAGTAAAAAATGGGAAAATAAATACTGTAACAGGTTAAATAATTATCCTTAAAGCACAAGAGTTCTCACTCTGAATATCAGAATGGAGTTTGCTGTCAATTAAATACTTAATATCCATGCATCAAACTTTCCAGCCAGCCTCTGTGATGAATCAAGTCATGGTAACATCCTAATATGCCAAGATTAGTAGCACTCCAACAATGGTTTCTGAGTCTGGAGACAGGAAAGAGAACTCTGCAGCCCAGTTAGTTTGGAAATGGTATCTTGATGCTGGACTGGGAGACATGTCTCTATAAAAACCGCACTGTTCGAGATGACAGTTTTCTTGTGAAAACATCAGCCATTCAGCCAGCAATCAAACCACTTCCCATGATGCAAGCAGGAGAATAAAACCCAGAAATACCTATACAGTTGCCCGACATTATCAAGGAATGGGACTCTCCTTGGAAGGAGTAGTCTTCCTCCTCTTTCTTTACCATCTAACTGTGCCAGCAACCATCAACCACAAAGGCAAAGTTATCCTGTATATTTTATACTATAAATTTCTGCCACACAGAAATCCATTTGTGAAAAAGTCAAAAACCAATATGTTTCTGGGACATGCAACTGAATTAATTGTATTTGCATTAATTCCTATAGAAAAAAATTGTTTCAGCTTTCAAATATTTCAGTTCAGAAATAGAGCCACAGAACGAATTTAAGTTTGTGATCTGAGGTACACCATTGTCAGGAGCCCATTTGTAAACACTAAAACAATTATACAAGACAGCACCCAAAGTGTTTCAGTTGCAAACTCCTAATGAATGGAAAAATCAGGTTTGCTGCAGATGTTCAAAGTGCTCTTGAAGATAGGCCAGTATTCCTGACCAACATGTGTTATCACACCCTTCTTGATTTTGTTGTTTTCTGGTTCAGTTTGCTAATCCCTGTGTGCTACGGTAGCACAGTGGTCTCTAACCTGGGTTGGGCACAAGGGGGTTTCAAGGGGGAAATCAAGCAATTTTGAAAGTCAGCGCATTTATACATTTACTAGACAAAACAAAACGGTCATGTTAGTTTTCATGAGCAGTTTGTACACCTATAATTAAAAATATAATTAACACGATAACATGCGAATTTGATAAAAGATTAAGAACACATTCTGACCAAAACATACACCCATACTTTCTGTTTTCCTTGTTGCGGAATCTATTATTCTCCTCTTTTTAACATATTTTGTTTGTGGAGAAAGGGAGGAGCCTTACTGTAGCAGAACATAAAAACATAACATTCGGGCCATTGTGTCACTTTAATGTTTATATATATATATATATATATATATCAGCCAATTTAAAATAAAATTTTAATTGTGAAAGCAGAATAAATATGTCAAGGACAATCTCTCCTCATGTTGATTGCAAGGCCCATTCTGCCCAGAAAAACTGTCCCCTAACAAACATACTGTAACAGGTGACTTAGGGATTGCTGATATCAGTCAGATGTGTCTGGACGAAGATGCAGATATCATAGCCAAGCTGTAAACCATAATACAACACGTGCCTTTTGAGGGTGAATGTAGAAGAAATAACACTATTGGGTTCTTCTCCGAACTTCTACCGCCGCAGTATTACGGCCTGAAATATCTGTTCGGAGCGCTCCAATTAAAAATATGCCGGCTCCGTATAACGAAACAAATGCTCTAACAGGGTCTCAGCGATATGTTACTTGCGGACCTGTTTCTTATTGTGTCTGATTACTTGACAATTCTAAGAGACGCAACACTGCAGACGATATTAGCAGACGACAATAATAGCGACCGTTGACACTTTCCATTGTCGAACTTTCTGCAGACGAACAAATCGCGGCAAAAATCGCGGGAAAAACTAGGATGCTCTAACAGGGCTCGGAAAAATGTTACAAACCTGCTCCTGTGATTATGCTCACCGTCGATCGTATCCCCCACGCCGCTACGCGAGGCGCGGATAGGGGCTAAACTAGATGGCTGGGACTCATGAGAGCAGCAGCTACCGCATCTCCTGAAACTTCCTCATATTAATTTGCTCGTGAGTCCCAGGCACCTAGTTTAGCCCCCCATCTGCGCCGCACGTAGTGGCGTGGGGGATTCACTCGGCGGTGAGTTTAATGGCGTTTTGCGCATGCCGACAAGTCTGACATCTACGGATGCTAAATCCTTAATCGGAAGAACAGTATTGCTAAACTGCGTGGGAGCGTGTGGTCTACCCGCCATTTCGCTTTCATCGTCTGTAATGTCTCAAAATTGTCAACGGTCGCTTTTATCGTCTGCTACTATCATCTGCAATGTTGCGTCTCGTGACATTGTAAGGTACTCCTAGTTTTGCCGCAATTTGTTCCTCTGCGGGAACTCTGACAAGTCAATATTTTTAATTGGACTGCGCCCCGAACGGATATTTCAGGCCGGAATACTGCGGGGGTAGTTTGGAGGAAAGCCCAATATTGAGATCTCACTCAACGATCTGGTAATAAAGTTGGACATTAGATATGTACCAGACATTGTCCTGAGAGTTACAATATTAGCTTGGCTACGTTCTTGGTTAAACTAAGATAGGTAGGTAAGTAAGACTAGTAAAAGTGTAAATTACACTGTAATTGTTCCCACCCAGTAGTGCTGTCCGCAGGATTACATACACCTTAAGAATGAGAATCAAACAGGAGCAAATCCCAGGAACCCTGTTCAACCCCACAACACACTTATATTAGGGCGTTTTACCGTTATGAAGTGGCCTGTTTAGTCCGAAGAGGGGATGTGTGGCTCTATGTTAACTAAGGAAAACAAGACAAGGAGTGTCACTCAGTGTCAGTCAGTGCAGGAACATTTTTAGTGTATGTTCAAAAATTAGCAGAGCTCGTGTAACTGGCCGTTCAAATATTTATCCAACTTACAGCTTGTCCTCCTCGACCTCATAGTCATGCAAATCTGACATATTTCAGCGTCAACGAGCCAGCTGTGCCAAGTTTCAGGTTACTCAATTATGGAAATCAGCGGCCGTGTTTATCTCGTCTGCTGCAGCCTGCCGGAAGTCACACCCTTACTTCCCGTGCATGCGCACCAGGTGGGCAAGATGGCGACAACACCAACTTCGAATAGAAACCGGGGGTGTGTCGGCCTGGACAAATCAAACCGGGCAGTCATGGAAGTCCTTATTTGGGGCTCACTCCAGTCTATAAACAAACTCTCGGCTGTAAACAAGAGGTCATTCAGAATCTTTCTGCTAACGGCTGAAATAAGCGTTTTTCGGGAAAACTTGTGAGTCTTATGCCATGTTACTACCGTAGTGTCAATATAGTATAGTATAGTAACACTAGTATGGCTGTGTTCTTTTAGGTTTGTGGATGGAAAGTAAATAACTTAAACTAAATAGTAATTTTACTTGATTTTATAGAATAGAGTATAGGCTATAACTATATTCTATAAAATGTATATCATAGCACTTAAAAGCATGTATTTCTACAAGATGCAATCAGACACGTCTACTCCTATCTGGCGGTGGTGATTTTTTTAATTGTAAATTTAAATATAATATAAGACGTTGAAGTATGTGATGAGTATATATATATATATATATATATATATATATATATATATATATATATATATATATATATATATATATATATATATATATATATATATATATATGCGCGTACGTGAGTTACAACAGCTACTCTTTTATACTTATTCTTATTTATAATTATAGGTTGGACTATTGTCAGTTCTACAGGCAAAGTGCCTATCCTGTTTTTCACTTCTTAAACAATTTATATTGCATACAGATGTGATATATCGTTGTGAGTGCTTCTTTTGATACATTCATTAAGTACGCAGGAAGAATCTCAGCACACTGAATGAACTTGGTGGTAGTAAGTAGTAGTAGTTATTGCAGTAATAGTAGTAGCAACATAAATCAAAGTTATGTATAGCAGAATTGCACTGTAAATATTTTATATAAATATACATTTATGTAAGAGGGGGAGAGAGAGAGAGAGTAGTGGCTCTAACTTAAATAGCTCTACTACCAAAGTACTTTTAACATGTAGGATGCTTCAGTAGTATAACTTTTGGTATATCAAATGTTTGATCTAAAGCTAATACTGCCATTGTTATGTGCATTGTACTGGAAAATTTGCCGTTTGCCTGAGTATAACTCAAATTTATAGTTAATTTAAATAAAATGTGCTGTCTCCACAGTGGAGATTGACTGCACTACATCTGTTGCTACCTTTGGGATTATTGCATAGTCAGGTCACCTAACTCTTCCATGGCGATCATTCTTACTAAGGGTACCAACTAGGAAAACATATGGATACCTTGCACACATTATAAATTCCTGGATGGTTGGAAATATAAAAATAGTAGGTCAAATAGGGTACTGCTCAGGATACATTTCACAGTTGACATACCTAAAAGAAATATTTATAACTCCCCATGTGGATTCAGAAAACAAAACTAATAAATATGTCACAGACAAAATATACAAATTTGCGGGACATCAGGAGCCTCTCTTGGCAGTGATGGATCATTGCAAGCTAGCTTGGTTTGGGCACCTGGTGAGACATGATTCAATTGCAAAGACTGTACTTCAAGAAATATTGGGGGTAGTTGAAGAAGAGGAGGGCAAAAAAGAACCTGGAAGACATCAAGAAATGAACAGAACTAAGTTATCATACACTTATTCATCAAGCAGAAGACAAGGATGGTGGGTTTATGTGCTAGCGCTTCCATCAATACACTTCCACGACCCTAATGGGTCAAGTGTTATTTTATTTGTATTATATATATGTGGGTTCCGGGGTCCCATTGTGGGGAATAGACCCACTGTGTCCCCAACAAGCATTTCGTAAGAGAGGACTCATTTGGGGCTTCCTTTGAAGGCGGAGTGCATCTGCCTGAGAGGCAAGGAACCAACAATCTGCATACAGTTAAGTCAGGTTTGTTAAACAGTTGTGCACGCAAAACTCCAGTTATGGCACAAGAGGTGGACAAACAACCAGATATGCAACTCCGCCTGAGTTAACAGCTGTTAAACAGGAAGAAGAAGAGCAAGAATATTTATAACACTAGAGATTCCTGTTCACACATTTTGATTTCTGTCATTGCTGCAGAGTTTGTTTATTTCGCTAAGTTTCCCCCTTTTAAATTCTTTTGTAGGAGAGTGGGGCTCTAATGAATTTCTAGGGAAAATTGGATAAATGTAGGAAAATACTGCACAGGGAAATGAAGGGATATATTTCCAGAGGAGATGTGTTAATTTGAGTCACAGGGAGGAATGAAAGTTAAGGCCACTATGCTGTGTCTAAGGAGATATTGTGTAACTTACCTTGGGCACCAGCATTCTCATAGCTAGTTTTACAGAACCTCATGCAAGACTCTAGCCACATGTTCATGTGCACCATAGGTAATGGCTCATACTAGTCTAAACTATGTTGGCAGGGGATCTCAGAGTTGGTGGCCCCAGAGATGCAGTGTCCAGAAACCCTCTGGCACACATCAGCCCACTTCTAGTGCATGGGTGATCAAATCTGTCGAACACTCATGTGGAGATTGAGTTAAGTCCTCGGGACGAGTCTTCTTCAAAAGTTGTGCTGGTTCAGTTGTCTGTTGGTGGAGAGCCCTGCTAAATAGCAGCATCCTGCTTGATTACACAAAAGGTTCATAATAGCCAAAGTCATCCAAGAGTTGGGGTGTATCTGCCTGAAAGGCTAGGAAACAACAGTCTGCACAAAATAAGCCAGTCCTAAAACAATGCCAATGTCCAGAAATGGATGCACAGTCAAGACTCTCTGTCAGAGTTTTCAGCAGGTGAACACAGACAGACATGGGGTTGTGTAAGAAAATGTATCATGGAGAATATAGGGAAATGTTTCTTTGAGGAATGTAGGGAGATGTCTCATGAGGGGATGCAAGATTTGTCATGTGTGTAGATGATGGCAGGTTTGTGGAGATGAAATTATATTCTTCAGGGAGTTTGAAGAGTGGTATCTACAGCAGAAGGGTGCGCTACATATTTGCCTCCTAAAACTCCACTTCCGTGATTGTTTGATTGCAGATTTACTGTCGACTGATTCTGCCATGGTGTGTCACATATCCATTTTCCCAGTAAAATGGCGTCTATCATGGCTTTGCTTTTCCTGGATTTTTAAAATAACATTTACAGATAAGAGCAGCAATAAAAAGCCCAGTTACTATTGGTGTCAAATGTACATGTCCCTAGCTTGTGTTTGCTTTACTGGGTCAGCTAAACCGTGTTTGACATCACACCTGAAGTATTTAACAGTAAGGCAGGAATGACAGCACTTAAAAAAATTAACAGTCTCACATTTCAGCCTGCACGTAATAATCTGCCACGCAGAGGATGTTTTAAAACTTTTGTTGCTCTCATGATGTGTTGTGTAATGGGAATTTTGTTGACTGAACTATGCTAATTATTTTTTTCAGGTAGGAATAGTAATCTTCAAATAGTCCATGCTGTTTGTGATAGTAGTCATGTCTACACCCTTCTATTTTGTATACTTTCATTCAGTTCTGACCCAGGTGTTCTTCCATGTCAAACAGCCTAGCATCTTCTCTCTCAGTCTCTCTCAGTCTCCCTATGCCTCTTTAATACAGAAATCAAATTATTGTCAAAATTCAAATTCTGAATTTTAAAATATTTTATAATAAATACACCGTTAAACCTATGCGGAATGTTAAATTATAAAATAAATATCAGATCATTAATTCTCAGAATATGGCAGGCAAATTGAAGTGGCTTCATTAACTAAAAATCCGGGAAACCACGGTAAAATAGAAGGGATGTTGTAATATCATAGGAACCAATACTTGGGGGTTGAGTATTGTTAATTGTTGTCCACATTAAAACTTGCAAACTATTCACCGCTTTCCTCATTGATCATTGGTACTCTGGTGGTGATAGTCGCATAGATATTGTGCCCAGGTTATGCATGCATGTTTGGGAATGAGCAAGCAGATAGGTTAGTTGCACTGGCCCCACTTGGGGGAGGAGGGGAACTGCAACTGCACAAGGCAGAAATGATCTCTCACCTGTGGAAGGAAGTAACAAGTAAAATGGAAGTTAATGAAAACTCGTACCTGGAGAGAATGATGCAGTGGGATTTATCTGCGGGCTCTGAATGCCACTCGAGACTCGAAAAAATGCAAGACGAATAGTTAATAAGGTAATGGTAACAATGTTTGTCATCAGTATGGAAACTCTTCGTTGGCTGTTGAGAAGGGAGATGGAGCAAATGTATGCTTGCATTAAATGCTGTGATTTTGAGTTTTTACCTAGCTGAACCCAGTACTTAGAGAGAATTACATGTCTTTGGTTCCAAGTTAGCTTGTTACCTTCATTATTTTACTGCTAACATTTTCTACTTCATTTATTTTAGTAATGCATTGCTTTTCATCTCCTATCTAGGTATATTTTGTTTTTGTCTCCAGACTGCTTAGGCATTACTCTATGAACTGTCTATCAGTTCTCCTGCCTTGCAAATTTGTTGAGAGATTCTCTGGCACCTGAAATAATTTCAGACATTTCCACTGACAAAGTGTTTGCAGCTGGTAAGTTGGTTTCAATAACTAGAAAATTCATCCTGCAGAATCCTTGCAGCACAAGAATGTAGGGAGCACAAAAATACATAGAAAAGATATTAGAGACCGAGATAAGTAATTTCTGAAGAAAAATAAATGATTGATGGGAAAGGGTGGGAAGACTTTGCATGGGATGGCTGAGTATCTGTTTTCCATGGAAGATAAAGAGATTTTTAAAAATCAAAATGTAAATATCGGTATTAATAGTCACTATAATTGACCATATAAGTCTATGCAGATAATGTACTGCCCAGCTAGAAATGTGATCTGGACTTAAACTGTAACATATATGTTGTTTTTCATTTTAACCTCAATAACATTATAATTGTATTATACAGTAAAAGGTCACAAATTCCAAGGGGCCAACAATTGAGTCCATGTTTACTAATAATAATAATTAATTCCCCCTGTTCTTGAGTTTTATTCCTGTTAATTATGTGTTCTTCTTAAATAAGTTTTATTGCCATAAAAGTAAAGGACCTATTTCAACACCTTCAGGTGTATTGGGTAAATAGGGCTAGACCAATATTTGATAGACCAAACGGCACTTGGTGGGTGATGTAGTCAGCATCACACCGGCCACCTTTACTTCCCAGAACTGTACCTGGTACCCACTCAAGGCTGGATCAGTCTGTGAGCTAAGGTCATTTTTGAAAAAAATCTGGCCACCGTCAGGACCCGAACCTACGACCTTCCGATCTGCATACGAGCATCTAGCAGCTAGACCATGGCGGCTCCCATTTTATTACTATCATCATCAATCAGCAAGTCCTGTACAGAACGTCGCTCTCTTCACGGCACGCCTGAAAGTATCCCTTTCCCTAGCCAGCTCTCCAGCCTTATGTGCTTTCAATGCCAATGCATATTCAATGTCTTGTGTCCATCTTTGCGGTGGTCGACCCCTGCCTCACCTTCCACAAACTGCACCTTTCATCACCGTCTTTTCCAAGCCACCATGACGCTTGATGTGGCCAAAATACTTCAACTTTCGGGACAGGATACTGTTTATGAGCCAGTTCTCCTTGATGTTCAGTTCGTTCAGAATGTTGATGTTTTTCCTCTTCCTGATCCATGTTATTCTAAGAATTTTTCTAAAGATCCAATCTTTTTCCTCAGTGACTGAGTGAGAGTCTAAGACTCACTACGGTAGGTTGCCACAGGAAAAATGCATAATCTCAAGATTTTTACTTTAACCAATTTACTAGTACTTTGCCATAGGTTCTTCATGTTTTTATGACTATATGTGTTGAGATTTTATTTTATTTTGACTCACAAGGTAATATTGAATACACATATAAGAGAACACTTAGAGAGTTGTTGTAAGGAACAGTTTAATGTCAGCTTTGTATGTTAATCACAGTTGACGAATGGCATTCCATGAATACTTCAGAGAGAACTGGGTATGGGACAGCAACTCCAAACCCCTAGAGGTTGAGCTGTCTTCTGATCTAGAGGAAGCATACTTTTACATTGATCCAGTGATAGAAAGCACTGGAACTGTTGGTAAGTCATAAGGTGTTGTGTTGTTTTTTTTAATCAAAATTTATAGTATCCTAATAAACCCTTCTGGAATTTTAATTAGGCAATATCATCATCATGTGGGGGTTGCTATAATGTGGTGACTAGATGTTCACCGGGCAGCCCTAAGGTCTTGAATTTGAATCTAAGGTGTTTTTAATGACCCTGGCTGTCAGGTCAACCCAGCCTAAATAGGTACCAGGTAAGCGCCTGGGAAGTAAAGGTGGCCATCTTGACGTTGACCATATCACCCACGAGTGCCGATTGGTCCTTAAAAGTATGAGTCTAGTATCATATTCCCAATATTCGTTTACTTCCTGACATCACCATCTTGTGTATTGTTGAATGACCTGGCTTTATGCCTTGTCACAGTCATGTCTTTTGTTATTCTGGACTTTCCATAGAAAATGCTTGCAGTAGGTAGAGATGGCGACTAAACGGCGACTATCAATTGCTCTTCAAAGACTAAAACAACTGAATAAATTATGGAATTGTACAGATAGAATTACAAAGGTCAGATTTTTAAAGAGCATGCATCTTTCCCATTGCAACATACGCCTGTGAGACCTGTTTTACTAAACAATTTAACAGCGCATATAAATGCATTTGAATATAAATGTTACAGACAGGTTCTAAGAATATCTTGGGCTAAATGAAAAGAACAAATGCATCCATACTTCAAGAGCTGAATTTTGAAGAGGGTTTTTAGTAAAGACAATAAAACAAAGAAAATTGAAATATTTTGGTCACTTGAAACGTCATGGAAGTCTAGAGAGAACAATAATGGAGGGGTATATGCCTGGGAAGAGAGGAAGAGGAAGACCAAGGAGAAGATGGGTGCAGGATGTGGCAGATGATCTCCAGATGGGTGTATCAGACGCAGGACATCTTGCTCATGATAGGAAGGTTTTCCGGAGGGTTGTTATGGCAGCGAGGTTCCGCGAGGGACATGCTACTGAATGAATGAGGTAGAGATGGGCTTTCTTTTGGCAAAATAATTAACTACTTGAGCAACCATGGCTGAATGCAGGTCTGAAGATCATGCGGCTGCTAAGTCAACTCAGACTAAAATGGGTACCAGGAAATGGCCTGGGAAGTAAAGGGGGCTGGCATGATATTTACCACATCATAATTAAGTGCTAATTGGTCTGTAACATAAGAGGTTGGAATCGTATACCCAGTACGTTTCAAGGCACATATGTGATTCTTTATTTTACATCCTTTTAGGACAAGTACAGAAATTTGAGTATCTAGACCAGTGTTTCCCAACATGGGGCCCATTCCCCACAGGGAAACAAATTTTAGAAAGGCTTTGGAGGTTTGAAGGGGGCATGGCACAAGAAAGGTTGGGAAACACTGATCTAGGCTGTTTAGGATAACATCTGATGGAAGATGTATCACAGAGATAAAGTACAGAAAAGGATATGCCAAAACTGCATTTTATAAAAGGAAGAACATTCTTTGCAATAAATCCATGTCATTGAGGGTTAGAAAAAGAATTCTTGCATGCTATATAGAGCCAGTTTTAATATAAGGCTGTGAATGCTGGGCTATTAAAAAACAAGCCAAACAATATCTTGAGGCCTCGGAGATATGATTTTACAGAAGAATATTTAGACTTTTTTGGACAGCCAAAAATAACTTGATGGTACTTGATGAGGATGATTTGACATTTAGTTACTGTTTCCAGTTGCCTGTTTGTAATCAGGGTTCACAAAGTGAGTTGAGAATAATAAAAATAATAATAATAATAACTGTAAATTACCATGCATGTCCTAAAAGGTGCCTGAAAAGGCATGGTGTGAGATTCACTACCTTATTCCGTGAAAACATTATATCTACCAACTCTAACCAGTCATGAACAGGCTTACACTTGACAGGAGTTGTTTGAAGATCTCTGCTCCTTCGGAAGATGAAAGCCAGAAAAGAACGATCAGTAGTTATTCCTCATGACATGGTAATGACTGATCTATTATGTCTTCATCCTAGCTGTGCGAGGAAACAAAGGCTTCACTGATGGAGAGCATTACTGGGAGATCATCTTTCTGGAAGCTCCAATTGGGTCCTCTGTAATGATTGGGGTAGGAACTATCAAAGCTCAGCTCCGATCGAACCTCTATCAGTATATCAATCTTATTGGTGAGTCTGTTGCTCACTGTCTTTTCTAGAGTGTACATGATGGTAAGACTCAGATCAATACTCATAGTTCAAGTCCTTCTGCTGTGATATTTATCACTTCACTTCTATTTGTTTTTAAATATTATATCATCTACATTTATTTATATTGTAAAACAGAAGATCCATGTGTCTATCACAAGAACTCTCAGACTGAACAATAGCATCATGACATTTGCATGTATGATTCTTGCTGCCATTGCTTGGTCATCTGTGCTATTTTCAACTTTTGACATTATTATAGCACCTTCCTGTTTGACTTGCGTTTGCACACTTTTCTGTTTGACTTGCATTTGCAATCAAAATTAATAAGCAACAGGGAAAATCACTGTTAAGCCAAAGGCATGTATTTTACTGACAAGTGCTTCTCGCATGGAACCCTGCTGGGCTTCAAATTGGTGACGGCAAAGAAGCAGCTTATAGAGCTGAAGCTCCAGTATAGAGTAAAAGTATAAAACTTGCATTCCTTGAGGATTAATTTGGCATATAGTGCCAGTCCCATATTAATACACCAATCAGCTCTTGACGATGGTAGGATTAATATCACCTCAGCCACCTTTACTTTGTGGTACCCATTTTAGACTGGCTCTATCTGGAAACCCAGGTAAATACAAGAAAATCTTATCCCAAGATTATGGGACTTTCAGACTGACATGATAGTCATTGCACTGCTGTGGGTTCCCTCCAGCTTGTACAGTATCTTGTATTCATTGCTTGTTGAATGTTTTGTTTCTTTTTTCCCTTTTTTTCTTTTTAAATTTAGCTGTATCTTTAGTCATTACCTCGAAGTGCACCAGAGGCATCCCCAGTAATACCAACATTAATTTGGGAAACAAACTAATGTATTGTCTCAAACAGATATAGATTTTTGGTTTCAAGGAAGATAACAGCGTAACGCCAACACAAGTTTTCTTTAACTAATTGTCGCAATATATAAAGAAATGCACAAAAACCTGGGCCTACAGCGTGACTGTTAAATTAAACATTGTAGTCATAATGGCAATTTCACTTGTGTGAGGAATTAACTCTTCGTTTATAATAAACACACATAATGCAGACAGGATTTGTGATCTATAGAATAGATAATTCTTAAATATGATTATTTAAAATTATTAGGTCTATGGCAGAACTTCAGAAATAAGAGGGATCCAGGGGTCTTAACTAATTGAGAATCAATGACTGTCAGTCACATTTCAGCTACCTTCACACATACAATTACACCTTCTCAACTTAACGATCTATGTGGTTTGTGACCTTCCACGCTTACGCCACCCAGAATTTCTTTTATTATTTGTGCACTACATAATTTTATGTTTTGTTTTGTTTACAGTACATATTATGTATTTTTCACATTATGTACAATGATTATACGTACATAGATTCAATCTTTATGTTTTGTATACTAATTTTTATAACCCATTTGAAGGAAAATAGTGTTGAAAAAAAATTAATTCAACCTTAACCAGTTGGACTTACGAACTGTTAGAATGGAACTCAGTCTTAAGTCAGGGAGACCCTTACAGTTTTCTTAATAGAGATCTTTCTGGGTTTTAAGAAAAAGTTATGTATACATAATGACAAAATATAATTTCATCAAACAGGTCAAGACAAGCAGAGCTGGGGTCTGTCATACAAAGGCAAGATCTGGCACAATGGCATCTGCAAGAACTATTGTGAGCCTTTTTACAAATCTGGCACTGTCATTGGGGTCCATCTAAATTTGTACAAGAACACTTTGACGTTTTACAAGAATGGGGTCAGCCTCGGAGAGGCTTTCACTGGACTGTACACATTCTCTGAACCTTTGTACCCCATTATCAGCTCAACGGCCACAGACACAGAGCTGGCACTTGGTGTCCGGACATGTAGATATTTGTCACTTCAGGAGAAGTGTTTTTCCAGAGTTCGCAGCAGTCTTAGCAATATTGATAGTGTGGATAGTCTTCCTTTGCCTAGACTCTTTATAAACCATCTCCGAGAACTGTAGCAGATGGTCATCACAGCTGTAGCAGATGGTCATCTCAGCTGTAGCAGATGGTCATCACAGCTGTAGCAGATGGTCATCATAACTGTAGCAGATGGTCATCATAGCTGTAGCAGATGGTAATCATAGCTGTAGCAGATGGTCATCATAACTGTAGCAGATGGTCATCGTAACTGTAGCAGATGGTCATCACAGCTGTAGCAGATGGTCATCATAACTGTAGCAGATGGTCATCATAGCTGTAGCAGATGGTAATCATAGCTGTAGCAGATGGTCATCATAACTGTAGCAGATGGTCGTCATAACTGTAGCAGATGGTCATCACAGCTGTAGCAGATGGTCATCACAGCTGTAGCAGATGGTCATCACAGCTGTAGCAGATGGTCATCATAACTGTAGCAGATGGTCATCGTAACTGTAGCAGATGGTCATCGTAACTGTAGCAGATGGTCATCACAACTGTAGCAGATGGTCATCACAGCTGTAGCAGATGGTCATCATAACTGTAGCAGATGGTCATCATAGCTGTAGCAGATGGTCATCACAGCTGTAGCAGATGGTCATCACGACTGTAGCAGATGGTCATCATAACTGTAGCAGATGGTCGTCATAACTGTAGCAGATGGTCATCATAACTGTAGCAGATGGTCGTCATAACTGTAGCAGATGGTCATCATAACTGTAGCAGATGGTCATCACAACTGTAGCAGATGGTCATCACAGCTGTAGCAGATTGTCATCACAGCTGTAGCAGATTGTCATCACAGCTGTAGCAGATTGTCATCACAGCTGTAGCAGATGGTCATCACAGCTGTAGCAGATGGTCATCATAACTATAGAAGATGGTCATCACAACTGTAACAGATGGTCATCACAGCTGTAGCAGATGGTCATCACAGCTGTAGAAGATGGTCATCATAACTGTAGCAGATGGTCATCACAGCTGTAGCAGATGGTTATAACAGCTGTAGCAGATGGTCATCACAACTGTAGCAGATGGTCATCACAACTATAGCAGATGGTCATCACAACTGTAGCAGATGGTCATCACAACTGTAGCAGATGGTCATCACAGCTGTAGCAGATGGTCATCACAACTATAGAAGATGGTCCAAACTGTAATAGATGGGTGTACTTCAACATTGTCAGACAACTAGGCACACATTAAAAATGAAACATTTATGATTTAATTTTTGCAACTATTTATTGTCACATTTTCTAGATCGCATCCTCAGTTTGTTTTGTCTGTTTGCCTATGTGTACATTTGATTCCCCAACACATTATTTCGTTTTTTTTTTTTTTTTTTGCTCACGTATAAAAAGGCTGGCATCTTATTGTCCTACTGAAAAGCCCAATTCTCTGAGCTGTTTTGTCACAATATATAAGTGCATGCACATATGAACACATCCTAAATGTGTACACAAACGTGCATACTCATCCACCTAGACATTCACTAGAGTTGGATTGATATCCGTTTTTGAGTTCTAAATAATTTTTAGAACCAGTATATTGATTTTTCACTGCCTTTCCTAGGAAAAGTAGTTTTTTAGAATGAATAGCATCTTCAAGAATACTGGTAGTTTGTGTAGTCTCCTTTTTCTTGACATATCAGTAAACATCTGTGTACTAGAATGTGAGCCATGATGGTAGAGTAAGGTAGTATACTTACTTACTGAAGGCATTGGTCCAGGTTCATTCACTAGGGAAGAATTTGTAGCTCACCTGTGTGGCTTTTTGTCTAACCATCCTTGTCAAACAGATTGCCAGAATATTGTTTTCTTTCCGGAATTGCCTATTTATTATCTGGAATTGACAGGAATGTGAGGCGCTGAGCTTCAAACTCTTATTGCATTTTTATCAACAAATCCTGTTATGTTCAACTAACAAAATATGTAATATGAGTACAAGATAAATCACAAGGCATGAATATCAAATTTATACATTGAGATATACATACATGCACACACATGCTCATTCTGAAACACACTCAAACACACATACATATACTCTAAGTCATACAAACACTCGTACCTACACATATACTCACTCATACACATGCACACATATACATTACATATTCATGTCTCTACATACACACTCACGGCTACACACACACACACACATGCATGCATGCACACACACATATTATATGCTCCATTGGGGGACAAAAGGCGGAAGAAGAGAAATCGGAAAGAAAAATGTGTGTATATTTGTATATGTGTACTTTATATGACTGTGATATTTTAATTGTGACATTTTTATTGTTTACACTGTGGGTGAGTGTGTTAGTTGTGTCCCTCCCCCCCTTTCCTCCTCCACCTAACCTCATAGAGATGGGTATCAAAGTCAGAAAAGTTATGAGGAAGGGAACTGGCCAACCATCTCATATGTCTGATCCAGAGTATGCGGTAAACTTACACTTCACAGCCACAGTTTCTGCAGATGACCCTCTGGGACCTTGTTTCCCTGTCTGGGTTCCAGAGCCCCAGTTTGGTTAAAATGGGGGAATACAGACCTGCCCCTCCTTCCCCCAACAGTCATGGTGGGAAAGATGATCTGCTAAAATCAAAGTCTTGGTTTAAGAGATGAAGATATTGCAACCTGGCTCAAAACCATAAGAGAACGTTCCAACTTTCAAAGGGATAATGCAGAAAAGTAGGAAGATTCAAATCAGGACCAAAGTTCTCACTTTTTTTGGCCGGAAAGGGGGGGGGGTGGGGGGGGAGGCACATGCCTTGGTTTCAGACAACCCCTAACATAATAGGTTTCTGTGACTGAAATTAAGAAGTGATATGGCTTGCCAGATATGAGGTTTATTTTTAAACTGGTCTGTTTGCAACATGTCCTTGAACTGGAGGTCATGTGTAACAAAGACTTATTGTTGACTTTCTTTCTGGGTCTCTATATAATAAGACCAGTGTCTTACACTGGCCAGCATTTTAAGGCAGTTGCACATGGTACTGCCTTACCACTGACTGGGTCAGCAGTCCATCTAACACTGTGTTGATTATTGTAAACTCCGAATATACACTTATGATTGTGTCTGTTTGTTTGTTGTGTATATGCTTGCTGATTGATAACTTTTTACACTGTCATGTGATCTTCATTTGAGGGCAGCTTTTTTTTTCCAAACAATAAACTATGTATTAACAGTTCCTTTATTGTGTGGAATCTGTAGTGTAACCAAAGGATGCAGTTTCACTATATTAATTTTATCACCTCATAGGTACTGCTCTTACATGTGGTCGTCTGTACATGCTTGCCTATGTATGTAGTAGTACATTTTACCCCACTAGGAAATCACATTGGCGATAAACACCAGATGACACAAAGTGCCACGATATGGATAAGGATCACCCATGGAGAGGTCCCAGAAACCGCGTTCAGCCATTAGGCCATTTTTATCGCCGGGCTATATTGTGGCCCCTGGCAAAAACCAGGGTGGGGCTTCAAAATAACGAAAAATTGAATTCCACTAGGGGATGACGATAATGATATTATACTCTGAGCCTCATAGGTATGTCTATCTATCTTCTTTTACCCCACCAGGACATCACACAAGCGATAAACACCCGATGACACAAAGTGCCACCATGTGGATGAGGATCATCCGTGGAGAGGTCCCGGAAACCGGGTTTAGCCATTAGACCATATTTATGGCCGGGTATATTGCGGCCCCTGGCAAGAGCCAGAGTAGGGCTTCAAACAACGAAAAATTGCATCTCACAAGGAGATGACTGGATATATAGGTATGTGTGAGAGAGATATCAAGTTCCTTGCCACCACATTATTTAAATTTGCAACAGGAAAACATTGTTTTAAATATACAAGCCGACAATTAAGTAATGAGACTAATTCCATAAAAATTAAAACAATCAACAGTTGAAGATATAACCTGTATTTTATTTAAAGTAAGCCCCTTGTGCATTGATACAGCAAGTGGTACGATCTAACAAACACTGGAGCAACCTCTGTAGTTTTTCTGTTGTTATGGTCCTTAAAGTTGATGTTACTGCCCTTTGGATATCATCAATATCATTAAGGAAGCGTCATTTCAATCGTAACTTTAATTTTGGGAATAAAAAATAATCACAGGGAGACAAATCTGGGTAATAGGGTGGAAGGCTGAGAACACACACTTATTTTTGTACAAAAAAGTCTTGTTTTGGTGATGTCTCTTGGGCACTCAACCCGCTGATGTTTTTGGTCACCAGACAACGAATTTGGTACAAACCGCAAGCAACTTTTTTCTTGCCAAAATCTTGCACTAAAATGTTATGAATGGTCTCTCTATTAACACCAGATTCATCTGCCATCATCCTCACAGTAAAACAATGATTTTCTTATATCCGTTCTCTGACTTTGCAATAAGTTCATCATTACAAACAGAAATTTGGTGTCCAGGTCTAGGTGCATTAGTAATCATTTCCACACAACTTTTGAATTGTGAATACCACCTGAAAATTTGTGCACAAGATAAACAATTATCCCCATAAACTTGTTGCATCAATGCAACTGTTTCAATGGCGCTTTTCCTGAGTTTTAAAAAGAATTTAATGTTAGCTTTTTGCTCTGTGCTGATTACGTAACAGCGCACCTCTGACTAGGTCAACAAAATGGCAGCTTGTTTGTTGTCTGCTTATCGAGTGGTGATGAAAAGTTGCCGGATCATAGATGAATGTTGCCTCTTTAGATTCCATGCTTTGCTTTATAGATGGCATTTTTGTCTTGGCTATAATAAAATCAGTCTCATTACTTAATTGTCGGACCTTGTGTATTCATGATCATTCTTCTCCCAATCTCTGGCAGACTGATATTTTAACTATTAGGTTCTGTGAGTGAGTTGCTGCTGCTCTTTTCATGTCTGACATGCTGCTTGATGAAATTCATGGTGTGAACCACTTCTTTATAGTTCCATTGTCTTCTGTAACACAAATTGAAAGAACTTCTACTCACTTTTTTTTCATCTGTTGGAAAACAAATGAAACCATTTCTGCTGACT